TCACCTCCTTCAGGTGAGCTCTGCCCCAGCACAGGGTCACCTCCTTCAGGTGAGCTCTGCCCCAGCACAGGGTCACCTCCTTCAGGTGAGCTCTGCCCCAGCACAAGGTCACCTCCTTCAGGTGAACTCCAAAACCGGCCTAAAGGGGCTGCTCAGAGGGAGTTTTGGGCCTTTGAGCAGCAGCAAAGGTGTTTATTTGGGGCCACGTTGGGGTGTGACCCCCCGGCTGGCGCCGGGCAAAGCAGCCCCCGAGTTCTCAGTGGAAAGTCAGGTAATTTAGGCAATTTTGGTGAGGGATTGCAGTATTTTACCTGAATGTTTGTTGCAATTACATCACCCAGTTGTAATACTCACATCAGGGGGGGTTCAGGTGGAGCTCGAGGCTTTTGGGTGAATCCCTGGGGGTCGTTCCGTTTCCTTCGGCCTCGTGGGGGTCGTTCTCTTGTCCTTCCTCTTCGTGAACTTTTCAGCTTTTCCTGAAAGTCTCACTAAAAACCCCTTTACTCAGCCCTTCACCCCCCCTCCCCAAACACCCATCCCGTCCAATTTATAACCTTCTTGTTGCATTCCACCAGGACAGAGCCCACCAAGGACAAGCAGGCCCGAGGCCTCCTCTCCCTTAATCAACCTCCCAACGCGCGTTTTCTGTGTCCCGTTACAACCCAAACGCAGCAAATCCCCCGGATTCGGGGTCTGTGAGGCCTCTTCTCAGAGCGGGATTTCGGCCTCTGGAAAACCCCCCCCCCGCTCTGTTTCTCTCTTGGCAGCGTCTACGACCGCAAGGGCCACCTGTGCCCCTTCGACACGGGGCTCATCGAGAGGAACGTCGAGCTCTACTTCAGCGGCGCCGTCAAGCCCATCTACGACGACAACCCCTGCCTGGACGGTGAGGGGCAGGGCCCGGGGGGTCACCGGGGCTGCTCTCCGGGCCTTTCGGACCCGCGGGAGCTGGAACTGGGGGGGTCTCGGGGCTTTCCAGGAGGGGTGAGAGCCAAGAAGTTGGGGCCCATCAACGCCTGGTGGATCACGGGCTTCGACGGCGGGGAGAAGGCGCTGATCGGCTTCAGCACAGGTGAGGCCTCGCCGGGCCTTCCTGGGGGGGTGTTTGGTCTTTTCTGGGGGGTTTTTTTGGCCTTTTTTTGGCCTTTTCTGGGCTATTCTTTGGCCTTTTTTGGCCTATTTTTTTACCTGTCTTGGGCTACTTTTTGGCCTTTTTTTGGCCATTTTTTGGCCTCTTTTTTCTTCTTTTCTCCTCTTTCTCTCTTCTCTTTCTCCTATTTTCTCACTCTTTCCTCCCCCTTTTCTCCTTTTTCCCACCTATTTTTCCCTCCCCTTTGGGCTTCTTTTTGGCCTCTTTTTTTGGCCATTTTTTGGCCTTTTTTTGGCCATTTTTTGGCCTCTTTTTTTGGCCATTTTTTGGCCTCTTTTTTTTTCTTTTCTCCTCTTTCCCTCCTCTCTTTCTCCTCTTTTCTCCCCCTTTCCTTCCCCTTTTCTCCCTTTCCCACCTATTTTTTCCTCCCCTTTGGGCTACTTTTTGGCCTTTTTTTGACCTCTTTTTTTCTTCTTTTCTCCTCTTTCCCTCCTCTCTCCTCTTTTCTCCCCCTTTCCTCCCCCTTTTCCCCCTTTCCCACCTATTTTTCCCTCTCCCACATTCCCACCCCATCCCATCGGGGTCTCCCACGAGGGACCTTCTCTCCACCCTTGGCTCTGTGGCCCAGACCCACCTTGAGCTGCAGCTCCCCCTCCAAGCCCCGGTGGATTTTTTGACCGAATTCCCCGTTTTTCCCCCCGGAATCGCCGGTTTTCCCGGCCAGCCTTCGCGGATTACATCCTGATGGAGCCCAGCGAGGAGTACGCGCCCACCTTCGCCCTCATGCAGGAGAAGATCTACATGAGCAAGATCGTGGTGGAGTTCCTGCAGAACAACCCCGACGTCAGCTACGAGGACCTGCTCAACAAGATCGAGGTGGGGACGCCAGCGGGGTCACCGGGGCCACTGGGGGGTCAGTGTGGGGGTCAGTGTTGGGGTCAGTGTCCCCAGGGGGGTCCCCAGGGCCAG